ATTGGATTAGTTTTCAGAATGTTGTAAATATAAAATATTTCTTGTAAATAAACAGTTTAATAAATAGATATTGTTTTTTTTTGTTTATAAATTCTCAAGACGAAAAAATGTATAAATTCATTTTCATCATGTGCTTAAAGTTTATTTTCAATTCTAATCTCCGCTTTTAAAAACATTGCTTGAGGTATGACGCTAGTTAAAATAATGTCTTGGGAAAAATCATCTTTTTTGACATTTCGTTTTTTAACCAGGCACGAGCGTCCATGTTTTTTTTCTGTGTTTTTTTGAATATCGAATTATCTTTAGTCAATAAACGCGACAACTATTTTTTTTTGGTTTCGTGGTTGTCATTTTGGGTCATTTTCCATCGAACCTTTCGAAATGTAGAGATTTGTTAAATTTGCTATTCTTATATTGTCCACACTCTTACGCCAGACCCCACACACCACACGCACGGAACGTCTGAATCCGCTGAAAGGAATGACCCCTGTGTCGAAGCTGGCAAATCATTTTGCAATACTTGCGGGACAAAAGTTCGACCAGGTCCGCCTCAGGTCAATCAAGACAAAGAAAAGGGTACAGTATGACAATATAATATATATATATATATATATATATATATATATATATATATATATATATATATATATATACAGGAAGGACCAAAAGTTTGTTTACAGTCATATTTTATCTAAACTATACATTTTCGACTGAATGAAGTGCAAATCATGTTAAGTTTCAACCATATCTGTTGATTCCAATCTATCTGGAATGACTGCAAAACATTTGCCCCACGTAAATTTATAGACAGAAGCAGACACATGCATGCTGGGATTTCTTCCTAGCCAATAAAAAGGACAGTTCTCGGTTTCATCTGATTCAGTCCTGGTCTGTCTTGTCTTGAAATCAGAAGATTTACTATTACCATTTGTTCAGCTACTCTTCTTTGATTGAAATGTTTTTGGTTCGTCAGTTTTATTTCCGGATGGTCGAAGTCAATTCTGTGACCTTCTGTAATGGCGTGCAATGCAATCGTTGAAGTTTTTCTAATTTTTATTTTTCGTTTTCATTTGAAATTACCTTACAACATAACTTGTTGAGCAGTTCACGCAATTAATTTTGTAGATCAGATTGCCATTGGCATTACTTGTAAAAGCTCTTTCATCTTTTAATCTGATAAGCGTCCTTCCTATTGTGTTGAAAGTAGAGAAAACAACTCGAATATCTGTTTTAAAATTCGTTTGAGACCTTCTGATGTGTTTTCTTCATACGGTATGTTCACTGTTAAAACCTTTTTCAGAACAAGAGTCTATATTTTTTTTATATCATATTTTTCTTTTGGAGGTCCAGACAGAATGGAGTTGTGCTGCATATATCCTACTAACGTTGCCCGTGCTTGATTCAAAAATCGTAAGACTCATACAGCAATCGCTATCACTTAAAATATTTTTGCACTTCCTTGCCTTTAAAGGAGTGCCCTTTGCCGTGCTGATGTTGCTACATGCCTTACTCCTTGCCTATCTCACACTGTCAATTTTTTCTAAGCTCTATACTAAACATTAAATCTGTTACGAAAAAAGAACTAAACAAAATGAACACAAAACGATCAGCTTTAAAAAAGGACTCGTAACTGGAAAAACCGAATGAAAAAAGAATGTTAACAACAAATCCTTTTTCACACTCAACCCAGTTCTGCGGAATCGGAATCAACGTTGAGTTTAAGCAAGCGAATGAGCCAATTGGAGTAAAGTGTCATGCAGATTTAAATTTTTCCCACTTGTGACGAATGCAGCTATCGATTTTTTTTTGCATGCTAGCATGCTAGTTAATATTCGTGTCAGTCAGCTGTTGGCTCTCACGCTGGCCAATAGAATCTTCCTGCCTAGTCGTGGCAGCCAGCTATAGGCTCTCACTTTGACCAGTAGAAAATGGCCAGAAACTACATGAAAACTGCCGTAGAAGCATGAAAAAATCGATTATTTCCACTATTGATGGGAGTTGGGAAATGCAAAGTCATTCTTGGCCTTCCCGCTAACTTGGAGCATGTGCATGTAAATTTTGGTGCAAATCCGTCAAAAATTGCGGCCGTGCATTCGTTACGCACACACACACACACACACACACACACACACACACACACATCCTGTCTTTTATAGATATATATTGTAGGCATTTTTTGTTTTAATATTTGTAAACGTCATCAACTCGGTTTGTTTCCCTTGATTTGAATTCTTAAGCATTTCTAGTTTCTTTGCATTCTTTTACTCAAATTAAAGGAGTGACCAAGACTAGCAACAGCTAGTTGAAATATTTCCATGAAAATAAATCATTCGTTGGAACTACAAGTTTATTCTTTTAATTATGCAACTACCAACGGAGACAAACATCCTAACTTTAACAGTAAGTCTTACTAATTAACCCATAGGTGGGGGTTGAGAAGAGGTGAATTCATAATTTCCCAAGGCTATTTGCGCGTAGGTAAATCTATGGAAATCAACAGGAATTGGAACTCAGCTCCCCGATTAACAATTCCGAGTCATTATCCATTACACCATCCGCACATCCAAGCTTACAGCTTTTATGGTAATTGTTTGGATGAGCTCTTCGCTATGATACATAGACTTTATGAATTTGTAGCCTTCTTTCTCGTCTGCCATCAATACAGTTAGGCAGATTGATTTTTCATTTTTTTTGAGAAAATCAACATTGCACTCAGAGGAAAAGCTGGAGTTTGATGTGATAATTAATGACATTAAAAATTAGATTCATAGCTTTTACCAATTTTTGAGCATTTGTTTTTATAGATCGTCTCAGATTTTACTATTTCAAGAATAAACCCAAATAAAGTTGATATTTTTTCTATTAGATTCATTGAATGGAAAATATATTCAAACCAGAATTCTAATTTTGAATCACCACAAATAAAACATTCATTTTTTATAGTGTATTCGATAATAAAAACTGTTTAAAAAAATTGTAAAATATTACAAAAAAAAGAAAAAAAGAAAAAAGGTTTCTCAATGAATGAGGTTTGTTTTAGCATTTTTTAGATAAGTAATTAATAAAAACACAAATAGATAAAAGTTTATATAACACCAGAATACTGCTGGGCAGAAATTATAAGGCAAAATGTTTTAAATGTTTTATGCGATAAGTATTGTCATCCAAAATTAGATTTACCAATTTTTGAGTATTTAGTTTTAAAGATTCTCTGAGAAAAATGTCCAGTAATTCTTAATTTCTGTGGGTTTTTGTTTACAAACCAACTTCAAAATTTTACTATTCATAGAATAAATCCAAATAAAGTTGATATCTTTTGTATTAGAGACATTAAATGGAAAATATATTCAAACCAGAATTTTAATTAGGAATTAATACAAGTAAAACATGCAATTTTTTCTATGGTATTCGATAAGTGAAAATTGTAAAAGTGTACAAAAAAGGCTACTTAACGAGTAAGATTTGTTAGATGATAATTAGTAAAAACCAAAAATAGATAAAAAGTGTATGTAACACCATAATATTTTCTGGACACTTCTAAGACAAAATGTTGCATTGTTTATTGAAAAAGCACATTAAAACTCCTGCACTGTATAACATAATACATCATAATATAGCTAAATAATTCAGTATAATCCTATTGCATCATATGGGGAATAGGCTATTCCGGCAGACGACCAAAATAGTCGTATGTCTTTTCAATCACCGTGTGGAAACAGGTTTGAAAAGACAAACGACCACTTTCGTCGTTTGCTGAAATAGCCTATTTCTTATACAATAACTAAAAGGATTTGCTTGATTATATATATATATATATATATATATATATATATATATATATATATATATATATATATTAACCAGACTAGACGATGTCATCTTCCGCTTTAAATTTAGACACCCAAACCTTACCCTGACTTGACATCTGAGAATGTAACCGAGATATTGATACAAATTATTAACACCTTACGCCCCTTTTTCTTTAAACAATTGCTCTAGCCGTTACCATAGAAATTTTGATTTTAATAATGAATATGCTTATAAAACATGTAAATTTCAGAAATAAGTTATTAAAAAAAAAAAATTTTTTTTTCGCTTGAAGATGGAACAGAACTTAGTACTTTAATTCAATTATTTCTAATAACTATATTGAAGTTTTCGGCTCTTGTTTTGAAACATGAGAACTCTTATGTAGCGTGTTGAAATCATATTTTAAATTATTAATATATATATATATATATATATATATATATATATATATATATATATATATATATAATATTAATGGTAAATATACACATATATATGCAAAATATATAAATATATATACATAGATGCATACACATACATATATTTTTTTAATAAAAAATTTCAAGAGGATAGAATCCAGGTCGAAATTGTGTGTGTATGTCACCACAAAATGTATCCTTTCCGGTTACATCTTTAATGTATTAGGCATCCGGCATCATTCATATTTCTCTCACTTAAACCTCTTCAACTCACCTCTCTAAAACTTCTCTCTGTTAAGTTTTAATCTCCCACCTTCTCTCGTCTGTTACCCCTCTCTTTAGCTCTAACATTTGTCCCACACTCTCATAAATACACTCTCTCTAAATTTTATTTTTTATTTCCGGAGTTGTTTTTTCTTTTTGAATTTGTAGGTCTGATGAATTGGATCGTATCTACGATTCCAATGGAATAAATTATGACCATGGAATATTAGTGTTTAAGTCTTTTTATTATATATATATATATATATATATATATGTTTGTGTGTGTGTGTGTGTGTGTGTGTGTGTGTGTGTGTGTCGGACTGAATAAATTACAAATATTATGTCTGCTTATTTTATTATAATTACAAATATGTAAGTCAAGAAATGCACTGTGAGAATCACTTTTATTTCCTAAGAAATTTCCAAGCGAATTTTGTCGACCTAATTTTGAAGCTAATTTTAAGGGGGTTGCATCATACACGAGATATAAAATTAGCGTATGTACAGCTGGCCCTGGCTACGCCGTTCACCTATCTATCTATCTATCTATCTATCTATCTATCTATCTATCTATCTATCTATCTATCTATCTAAATGTAATGTCAATCGCCATCTTCTGATGCCTTGATCTTGATCCCCGTCCTTCTCTTTATCCTTTCCTCAAACACCCCCCTCTTTACTCTTGCTCTCACTCTCTGTAACACCTTGCGTACTTGTGGCACTCATGCCTTGCTTGGGATGATATGCTTAAGGAAAAAGAAATTCATATCTATCAATCAATCTATCTAGATTTTTCAAATCTCTATCTATCTATCTATCTATATCTATCTATCTATCTATCTATCAAATAAATAGATAATGAACAGAGATAGATACATAAATAGATAGATAGATAATGAACAGGTATATATATATATATATATATATATATATATATATATATATATATATATATATTGGCTCCTGAAATATCAATTTCAGTTGAGCTCTAGGGACAAGGTGTGGGTTGGTAAACAGTGACTATTATAGCTATATAGCGAGACTCTTCGCAGATGCCAATTGAGTCACTGTCGGTCACTGGGCGTGTTTCTAAAATAAATACGCTAAAATCCACTTTCATCCGACGGCTTAATGGTTAGAATCTCCGACTAACACCAATTCAGTCGGGTTTCGATCCTAGCTAGAGGCAACCGGATGTCTAGCCACACAGATGAGCTGTGAAACAGCGAAACAGTCTGTCTGTGGATGACGTTTATATATATATATATATATATATATATATATACACAGAGCGAAAGAAAGAGAGAGAGAGAGAGAGAGAGATAGGTAGGTAGATAATGAAAAGAGATAGATCATTTCGTCAATGGCGTAGCCAGACCAGCAGTACATACGTCAATTTTATATCTTGTGTATGATGCAACCCCCTTAAAATTAGCTTCAAAATTAGGTCTTCAAAACTCGCATGATACGTGTTATGGGATCTTACCCATAATAATAATAATGGACCATTCCATACTTAATAAATACTGCGCCTTAGGAGTAGGCAGGAGTCAGTCGTTCACCTCTGAACTGACTGCACGGTTCAACTCTCTTCCTACGGGCGAGGGGAACCCGAAGGAGGCTACGCCGAAGGGCGGAGTCTCCTTCGGGAGGTAAAACCGGCCCTGAACCCGTTTATACGGGTTCAAATTTTGCCGAGCCTAATGGCCCGGGAATTCCACGTTAAAAAAGGCCTTGTGCCACATGACACCCTCGTGGGGGGTGACTGAATATCGTCAGTCGTTCACCTCTGAACTGACTGCATGGTTCAACTCTCTTCCTACGGGCGAGGAACACGAAGGAGGCTACGCCGAAGGGCGGAGTCTCCTTCGGGGAGGTTAAACCGGCCCTGGACCCGTTCATACGGGTTCAAATGGGCTATTTTTTGGCCGGGCCTAATGGCTCGGGAATTCCCACGTTAAAAAGGGCCTTGTGCCACATGACACCCTCGGGGGTGACTGAATATTGTCAGTCGTTCAAGTTTTGAACCGACTACACGGTTGTACTCTTCCTACGGCGGGAGGAACCCGAAGGAGGCTACGCCGAAGGGCGCGGAGTCTCCCTTCGGGGAGTTTAATCGGCCCAGAACCCGTTTATACGGGTTCAAATGAGCTATTTTTGGCCGAGCCTAATGGCTCGGGAATTCCCCACGTTAAAAAAAGGCCTTGTGCCACATGACACCCCTCGTGGGGGGTGACTGAATATTGTCAGTCGTTCAAGTTTTGAACCGACTACACGGTTGTACTCTCTTCCTACGGGGAGGAACCCGAAGGAGGCTACGCCGAAGGGCGGAGTCTCCTTCGGGGAGGTTAAACTTTGGCCCAGAACCCGTTTATACGGGTTCAAATGGGTTATTTTTGGCCGAGCCTAATGGCTCGGGAATGCCCACGTTAAAAGGCCTTGTGCCACATGACACCCCTCGTGGGGGGGTGACTGAATATTGTCAGTAGTTCAAGTTTTGAACCGACTGCACGGTTGTACTCTCTTCCACGGGCGAGAGGAACCCGAAGGAGGCTACGCCGAAGGGCGGAGTCTCCTCGGGGAGGTAAACTCGGCCCAGAACCCGTTTATACGGGTTCAATGGGCTATTTTTGCCGAGCCTAATGGCTCCGGGAATGCCACGTTAAAAAGGCCTTGTGCCACATGACACCCTCGTGGGGGGTGACTGAATATTGTCAGTAGTTCAAGTTTTGAACCGACTGCACGGTTGTACTCTCTTCCTACGGGCGAGAGGAACCCGAAGGGAGGCTACGCCGAAGGGCGGAGTCTCCTTCGGGGAGGTAAAACCGGCCCTGAACCTGTTTATACCGGTTCAAATGGGCTATTTTTTTTTTGGCCGAGCCTAATGGCTCGGGAATTCTACGTTAAAAAGGCCTTGTGCTACATGACACCCTCGTGGGGGGTGACTGAATATTGTCAGTAGATCGAGTCGAGTCAAGAGTCGAGTCAGAGGCAGTCCGGAAACAGAGTCGCGTTCAGAAATTACTACAAGACATTGAATAGTGATACTGGTCGAGACTACATTGTTCTTCTACTAAACCTGATTGTTCATACTAACACTTTCTACTTCTCTGTATATATTCCTGTTTGTAATATATCTGTGTTATTCCATACCTGTGTTCGAGTTCTTCTTTATTGGTTCTACCTTGGACCATCACCGTGGTGCAAGGAACCGCACCATAACAATACGTGAGTATATAAGATAGATGGATAGATAATGAACGGCGATAAATAGATAGATAATGAATAAAATAGATATTAATAGACTCAATATATTCATATCTATCTATTTATCTATCCAAGGCTGTTCAAATCTATCCGTCTGTCTACACTTCCTGTTCATATCTATCTATCTATCTATCTATCTATCTATCTATCTATCTATCTATCTATCTATCTAATGCTGTTCAAATCTATTCGTCTGTCTACACTTCCTGTTCATATCTATTTATCTATATAAATCTTTTCATATCTATCTATCTATCTATCTATCTATCTATCTATCTATCTATCTAATGCTGTTCAAATCTATTCGTCTGTTACACTTCCTGTTCACATTCATCTATCTATCTATCTATCTATCTATCTATCTATCTATCTAATGCTGTTCAAATCTATTCGTCTGTCTACACTTCCTGTTCATATCTATTTATCTATATAAATCTTTTCATATCTATCTATCTATCTATCTATCTATCTATCTATCTATCTATCTATCTAATGCTGTTCAAATCTATTCGTCTGTCTACACTTCCTGTTCACATCTATCTATCTATCTATCTATCTATCTATCTATCTATCTATCTATCTATCTATCTATCTAATGCTGTTCAAATCTATTCGTCTGTCTACACTTCCTGTTCATATCTATCTATCTATCTATCTATCTATCTATCTAATGCTGTTCAAATCTATCCGTCTATCTACACTTCCTGTTCATATCTATCTATCTATCTATCTATCTATCTATCTATCTATCTATCTATCTATCTATCTCACTTCTTTCCATTATCTATCTATCTATCTATCTATCTATCTATCTATCTATCTACTTCCTGTTGTTCCAAGAAAAAGTTCACCATCTTCCGGTCATTGCAAATAAACTACGCATGTTCATCATAATGGATTTTCTCCAGCTTCATATTTCTCCTTCAGTGTAATCGAGTGAACGAGGGGTACAGAGGCAAACTGTTTGCCATTGTGCAGCAGAACTCTTTTTCAGTGATCGATTGCTGTTGTTAATGTGCAGTGTCCAATATTTGGGTTTGTACTGTGCTACTCCAATTTTGTGCAGAAGTTGCGCAATATCTGTGAAGTACATCACGTCCGTTCTCTCCGGAGAAGAAAACTGAGGTACTCTTGATACGTGTTGCGGTAGAAGTTAATCAGGGTGGAGAGGTTTTCTTCCTTCAGTCTTTGATGCCAACGGTTCGGCAGAGGACCTTAACAAGCTGAGATCATGAACTAGATCATTTAGTTCCTTTTTAGGGAAAAAATGATGTGAAGAATAATCTACAAAATAACTTCTTCATTTTCTTGAAGACTGGAGAAATCTTCATCACTAATTTCAAGAAGTTTTCCAAAGACAAGTATTGGAATTTCAGTACAATTAGCTACAGGACGACGTGCTGCAAAATTGTCCAAATTGTGTAAATAATAATTGTTCATCTCACAAAATGTTTAATATCTAAAAAAAAAGAAAAAGAAAACACTAAACTGAGTTTCTTTTTTATAAGATTTCAGATAAGACTTTTAGCCATCTTGATACGATTTGTCGTAAGAATCACTGAAAAACCCTTTGAGTTATTCAGCTACTAAAAGAACAGGTTAAAATCGTTTTGTGTCAGCTCCACTGTCTTCCCAACGGAGCAATGATGAGAGGAAAAAGATCATCCAGGCCTTCAGTAATGGTACCAACATTCATATTTTGGCTTCCATCTTCAAAGTTCATTCAAGAGCCATCAAGAGAACGGTGAATAAATTTAAAAAAAGAGGGAACAGTAGAGAGGAAAACTGGATCCGGAGGTCGCAAAAGCAAGAGGGATCATCATTTCAACTTAGTGTAAAAAAGATCAATTAGAAAAGATCCAACTCAATCCATAACACGTTTGGAAACTTGAGAGAGATGTTTCAGCTATGGCAGTCCAAAGAGCAGTAAAAAAAAAAAAAAGAAGAAAATGAAATCGGACGTGAAACGTGTGAGGCACCTTGTTACTCCAGGACAGAAAGTTAGAAGATTAGAGAGGGCGAAGATCATCTTGAATAAGTTGGAAAATGATCCTGGAACAATAAATATATATTTGAACTTTATTTCAACCCTTCATGACATTCCGACCCTTAATGATGAACATGTCATTTTCGTTTATGATCGATTTCATCACGATTGTTCTGTTGAGCTTGGAGACTAATTATACATTTGTATTTCACAATGTCATCGTCAGGGCGTTGTTTTATTTCTAAAACAAAGTTGTTGTGTTCATCTGACAGTTAATTTTTTTTAACTGTGAAGTGAAAAACGTTAAAGTTATGTACAGCACAATTTAAATTTCACGACTTAAACGTCAGGGGAGGTAGGCATGCTTTTGTAAATGTTGTGATATCTTCGATGCATCATTCAAATAAAAATTCAAACTTCAAGACAACGTAGTAGTAGTATGGCCAGCATATATATTATTTTTTTTCTTGGAGATACAATCTTTAAATTTACATACAATTTTGGTTTTCTGTAATCTATTAATTGGTGGTGAGGAGTCATTACGAATAATTAAATTGGATATATTGAATTTAGTATACAATTATTTTTTTTACTAAG